ACTCTTCTTTCTGACATGGAAAAATCTTTCCCCGTTGTGGCTGGTGAGCAAGGAGGGGATGCTGGCACGGCAGCAGGTCCTCCGTGCCACCCTCGGGGTGACCTCCCTCTGCTCTCACGCGCCACTAACTCCCACCTGAGACTTGCAGGTGGCAGAAATGGGAATTGGTTAACTACCAGTAGTTTATGCACTCCAGTATGACCTGCCATAACTCCCATTAAGGCAGGACAATTTGCTACAGAGAGAACTTTTTATGATTATATAAAACTACTGGAACCTTAACATTATTTAGGTTTTATTGTGAAGCTGTAAAAATCATCCACTGTTACAACTGCCTTAAAACATATGAATTAGGCATTTCAGTAACCTTTAAGATGTGTTATTCTTTGTCATATTACTGAATCATAAGATAGGTCTGGTTACCTCTAAGAGGTTTAAATTTCCAATCTATTAAAGTAATACTGGCAATCTGTTATTTCTAGGCCATTGAGGAAAGGTTAAAACGAAAATTGGACTTTGGGGAGTTCCTCCTGTTCTAAGTGCAGGTTGAAAACATCTCAGCAGCAGAAGGCAAAGTCAGGGTCTCGGTAAGAAGCAGTTATCAAGGGAAACAACTGGTGATAACTTTATTGATTAAAGCAGCTTGAGAAATTTAAGATTTGCCACTGTCTAGAATTACTGTGGTGAGACAGCTTTATTAAAAAGGTATTTTTCATTAAAAGTCAGGTGAAAGAAAACTGTAATATGTTTTCAAAAGCACAGCTCATCTAAAATGGTTTAATGACGGTATGGATTAAATGCATTCCACAAGTGGAATAAATTATTGGCAAACATTTTATAGAAGTAAAGGCAAGTAAAACCAATCCTTGTCATGTCACTACAAATGCAGAGAAGTATAGCTCATTCAGGAGACAGATTAAAACGTAATACAGTGCATTACTGAGGAACTGCATATACTGAGTTTTTATTATTATGTATGACGAACTAAACCAACCTACACATCCTTCTCAAGAGAACATTAAAGTTGCAAGGTCAAGCACTCAAAAGTTAGGAAAATGTCAGAATTAAGGTAGTTTGCTCTGCTGTAATTTGTTCCTCCTACGCATGTGCATCATGATCCAGGTTTTAACTCCAGCAGCATGGACTATTTTTTCCATAGTCAAAGCACGGAGTGACTGGTGCCATTATGCAGTGGTGTCTACTGTGCTCCTCCTTGGTTAGGCACATAGTTCCTTCATCTCGAATCTCTCTGAATACAAAAAATTACACCTACAGACTAGACATATGACTACAACAAATTGATGGCATTTAACACTAGAAACTATACGGAAAAAAATCTGTGTCAAAATATAAAGTTAGTCACTAGTAGCACTATGAATATCTAGCAAATAGCAGTAAGTGAATAAATAGTAGTCTCTGCTGGGGACTATTACTGCTTTTCCGTACCCAAAACAAATCCTCCTGAAGTCGATGGGAACCACTCGCTGAGGCTCACCCTATGGGACCACTTTTGCCACCTTGGTGATGCATTATACCAAATTTTGTTCCCTGGAGCAAAGTTTTTGAGACAGGAGTTCTGGTACCCTGTCACATCCCTGTAATGATACCCTCCCTCGGTGCCAGGGGCTGAGACGGTCTCAGCATACCGCGAGCTAGGCAAAACAGCATCTGAGGACAACTGCACCATCCTGCCTATGGAAAAGGGCAAGCAATGCCACAAGGATAAACCCCCCCCCCAAAACCCTCTTCCCTACTACTCCTGTGCACCGATCGTTTCTGATATAAGTGGAAAGGAAACACAAACGTTCACACATCTGATTTAGACAAATAGTATCCAAGGGCTGAGCTCTGTGGGTTTTTTTTTTTTTCCTTTCTTCTTTTTTCCAGCTATTTTTTTTTCAAACACCATTCTGTGTCTCAAATGGATTTTTGGGTTTGTGGTTGGATGAATGCATTGAATAATTGCCATGCCTGTACCTGGGATATTATGTTCAGGCTGAGCATTCTTGTTACTGGGAAGATATCGACAAACTGAAGGGAGCACAGAAAAGAGCACTGCAGCGGGTTAGGGTGCAGAGGGACCAAATCACAAGGGAAGCTGCTGAGATCTAAACACACAGTTTTAGTAAGAGACAACTACTGTAGCGATAACAAATCTGGAGGTAGTTGGAGGGAGAAAATATCCAGGAAGGCAAGAAGTTATTTTGGTTGTTACCTGGAGTAAAACTAGAAACAAGGAGATGCAGTTTAAAAGGGAAACATCCTGATGAATCTCAGAAAAAGCTGCCTACTTGGCTGCAAACACTGTCCCTAGGGTACTTACAGAAGCCCAGTTGTTTGGCTCACTGAAAACTACTCTGGACAAAACATTAATAAACGTGAAGCAGGGAACACTCCTGCACGGGGAAGGAGATGGATTAGATGGCCTACTAGGTCTTTTCCATCTCCCCACTCTATAATAAAGTAAAACCCAAGCACATACTGAATTACAGGGCCATAATTTCATCTCCAGGCTCTAGGGACCTACAAGCCACCCAAACTTCACTCCTGTTGTTTATAATGTCACCAAAACCCCCTGATGGAATTATTACGTTGTAATTCACTGCTGTCTGTGAGTCATCTCATACTCATCCTTATGTCCTGTGTGACATAACAAATCAATAAAAAGGATCTGGGCACAACTACAGAGAGAGGAAAAAATGGGCTGTACTAAGTAATCAGGGAGCATCACACATTCAGCGTGTTTCTGGAAAGCGTGCGGAGGGTAACACGGGAGGAGTTTTTGAGTCAGTCAGTGCTTCCCGTTCACCTAAATTACAAAATATTTTACTTCTGCCTTTCCCTTTTACTAAAAAAAGGTAGTCAGTGTGACACCAAAGGAAATAAATAACATTTTGGCTGCAATTCCACCATGCTGCAGCCTCCAGTCACCAAGCAGACTGCCAAGCATTGCGGCACCTCTCATCTTGTGAGGCACAACATCTTCCCTAATTCCTTGCGAAAACTAACTTTTATTCTTTTGTATTGTTTTCTTCAGCCTCCAAATAAAGGAATTTCATGTTCTTTTGAACAGAAATGCATGTTCTTTTGAACTACACGGTTTGGGAGGAAGGTGAATAAGAAAGCCCAATACAATAGTACAAGTAGAAGGAGAAATCGCAGTAGAGAATGGAGGGATGGATGGAAGACTCTAAATTGGGTAGAGTATCGATGGCACAAGTGAGAGCAAAGAGAGACAGGAACGAAAAAGGAAATAGCAGGCAGTCAAAAAGAACCCTCAAAAAAGCAGAGAAAATAATGTCATGCCTTTCAGGAGGGTAACAAGTACGCATAGGGCAGAAGAAATCCAACAGGTCTCCACCTGCTAGCATGTACCCTCTTGGCTGTCAGTCCTCTTTTGTCTACTTCGCTTTATTTGATAGAATGGGCAAATACGGGGGTTTTTCCCTTTGAAACATTTTTCCAACAATTTTTGTTTTCCTTTTTTTTTTTTTTTTTTTAAATAATTCATAGGAAGATCGTGAACAGAAATATTTCTTTGCACACTGGGTCTGGAAAAAAAGATTTGCATATCCACCCAGAGTTTATCATGTCGTCCTGGCCACATTCCCTTCAACCTCTTCTGTAACTTTCCATGAAAGACAGCAAACAAAAAAAAAAAAAAACACATCAGTGGGCATAACTACATGGCACAGCCAGTAATCACAGCATCAGAAACCTTACCTGTTGCGGTGGAACTCCCATTTCTGCTAAGGCTGACTCAAAAAACATTTTTGCTGGTTTTCCCACTACCTCAGCTTGAACATCACAAGCATACTGGAAAAAAAGAAGAGAGACACACAAAAAATGCTGATCAGAAAAGGATTTGTTCAACTCCGTAACTCCAGCCAATTGTAGAAAAACTAAGTGATTATTGATTTTTGCCCTTAAATACCACAGTGGATTAGCAGGTGAAGGTGAATATCGGAGAATTTGGATAACAGAAGTATTTAATGTTCTCTGGCAGGAGGAAAAGTCCTTCCGAAACATCTCAAGTTACAAACCTTTTACATTCTCCACCATGAGAGCAGTCTTCAGACTCAGTTCCAGTATCGCTCATTTTTGTAAGAGCATCACTCTTAAAGAAATAGCAAATATCCTTCATCTGAAATGATCAAAAGTACTGGAGGGCCTTAAAAGATGTAGAGGGTTTCTTCAACCACCTGGCACATTTTTAATGATTCAAGTGACCAGCCAGATTTGACAATTTTTATCTTCCTGCAACTAAATATCAGTACTATGCTGAAAAAGGTGTTTCTAGGTTGTCCCTAGACAACTAGAAGCCTGAACTTATCTGGGAGGCAAAACCTTTCCCCAAAACTCACATAGATACAAATGAATGTGCTGCAAGCATACATTACATCCACCATTTTCTGTGCTTGTATACTATCCTACTTTGCTTTATTCTCTGCATTCACTATGTATTTTTTTTAATCTCTCTGCAAGCCTATAAAAGGGAGAATAATGATTCTCTCCTTCTCTCACCCTTAGATTGGCTTATCTATTGGGTTCCAGTTCTGCACAGACTTAATCAGGCTTAAAAACAGGATTGCACTTAAGTATCTTGCTGAATAAGGGCCTTTTGCTGTAAACTGTTAAGGGCAAGGGCTGTGTTAACAACGCTACACCAAACATGAAACGGACCTTCAGTTTTTCTTGGGTATCTTGCAGACAATATTCCATGTTTTTATCTTCTGACTCTTTCCTTCAAGGGCCTCACTTCCAATAAAGGTACCACAATGGTAAAAGTTCACATATAAAATAAAATAAAGAAAATGAACGAAGCCAGAAAACAAATGAATCCACCCATCTTTAGAATGCAGCAAATTAGCTTCAATCTGTGGAAACTTCCTCCACCAAGGTGAGTAATTACAGAAGATGACCCATATTTATACCAGTTACTCTTTTAACAAGGTGCACAGAGCGAGTAAGCATAATGCAAGCTATAAAATACCTCTAATGCCTTCATATATGCTCCAACATCAAGTTTCAGACCATCGGTTTCTTTATAGTAGCGTCTGGAAATGAAAGTGATAAAGTTTCAATGAAATGAAAATGTTGGCAGTTAAATACAAAGAAACCACATTTTATTATTTCTGTGCCTATCTAGATGTCCATATGGCTGCAACAAAAAGTCAAGTCATCAGAATCTCTGGGGCCTTAATTTAACACCAGGAATTAAGTAAAGGACAGGCTCAGTACCGTGCAATGCTTGGGGAAGAGATGTCAGACCGATGCCCATCTGGTATCTGGGACACAACTCCACCGGTTCAAAGGAATTTCAACTAGTTTATATGAAGGATGAACTTGGCCTGTATTTTATTGCACAGAGTACTAGCTGCTCACAAAGGACGGCAGTTACATTGCTCTTCCTTTAATCAGCGATGGAGACCCCTTGGCAGATACAAGATGAGGGCTGGCACCAACCAGCAGCTGTAACACCTTCTTCAGTATATCTGGAAGGGGACCCCAAACAGTTGACCATCATTGCTTCCCACAAGCCTCCCACATGAGGAAAGCCAGGGCACTGTTTATCAGGACTAAGAAAGCCCTCCAAGCTAAATTTTGTTCCTTCTAAGAATGTTCCTATTGCCATGAAGCTCATAAAATTAGTTAGTATCTTTACGGTGTTCTTCTGGAACAGCAATTCGCATTAACACAGGTCTTCCAAACTCTCCTGAGCAGAGCAAAGACAGGTTTCTACATGACGGGGAAAAAAGGTAGGATGAGCAGTCAGTTAAGATTTTATGCCTTATCCTTCTGCCATTTTCGATTATTCAGCACAGCCTCCCTTTAAAATGACCACTTGACCTTTGCTAGAACAGCCATTAACCTTCTATAGTCTAGCGTAAACAGCTTAATTTTCTGACAGTGGCATGACAGAAGAAATTACAAAGCCAATTCCCCCTCTCAGCCCAAAACAGATGCTAAATGTAAATCACTCCATTTTCAGGAGGAGGGCATTCTGCTTCAGTGACTCTGACACTTTCGTTTTCTATGGAATGAACTAAAACTTCAACCAAAATCAACCTACTTGCCCAAGGTAGGAACCTTGTTAAGGTCCACCCAATTACACTGATTCTGCACATTAAAAAGGAATCTGGCTTGTGGCTGGTTTTTGTATATGGCCCTCTGCATCAACAAGGCTTCTCTAGTTAGGTGAAAAATTCATCCAATTTATAATCTCCCTTCTTCAAGTCAGAGAACTTACATACCAGGGTAACTCATTCAGAACTCACGTTCACATTACCGAAGTGATCAATCATTAAAAAAAAATTGCTCATGGTGAAAACTGAGCTCAGAATATCCAAAAATATGTATTTTTAAATGAAAAATAACATTTCAAAAAAATAACAGCTGGTCTGTTTTAGAGCTGTCTACATCAATGAATGACCAAATATATAAATACTTTGTATGCACAGGGTACAAAGGCATTTTTGCATTGATCACGTTGCAATTCTTAAACAAAGGTTGATTCCATATTTCATTTTGAAAATAATAACACAAAACTTGGTTATTTTATGTACATTAGCCATTCTGCAGTTGGCTCAACATTTTCTCCTTATCCTTCTAACTGAGAAACAGTAAGGATTTTTCGCCCATGCTGTAGGATCAGAGCGTGAGTGTCAGGTAAGGCAACACAATGGATTTAACTGCTCCTTCCCACTGATAAGTTCTACCCAGCTGGATCAATAATTCACAAACTAAGAAGGGTTTTCATGCCCATTACGGTCTATTGAACCATTGAAAAAAGTTGTCACTACAGTTTCCTCAAGCTAAACATGCATATCTTTTTTAAGCCCATATATCGCACAACAGATAAGAATAACTCCTTCAAGGCCGTTGGGATTTGTTATTGTTCAGCACTGGCATTAATAACCTGCTGTTTAAAATCTCAGAAACATCTAACTGAATTGTTTTTAGGAAAACATCTAAATTCCTTGACTGGATTTTTCCTGCATGAGAAAGCAGGAAGTCAAAATTTAACTTCAATGTTCAGAGAATAATGAAAAATGTCTTTTGATATTCAAACTACCAAAACAATTGATCTGTCACTTCAAAAGCACAGTTGTGTTTGCAGGTCTTCGCCATACACACCAGCCCAGCCATTTCTCAGTATATCCTTGGGCTCTCCCTTTAGGTCTCCTCGGCCACCACACTTTACTCACAGCCAGAGGAACATCTACCCTCATCTCCAACATAGTTCGGGTGGAGTTTGTCCATTGCAGCTACTCTCATAAATTGGTAGGGTGTCTATATTAGCAAATAAAACTTCTCCTGGCTTCTTGTTCCTCATGTATAGCACTTCTCAAGCCACCAGCATGAAAGTGCTCCCTTATGTATGACATTTTCATACATATGAATCAACCTGCAGACATGCTAACACCAATTTTCAGAGACCGCATCTTTAGGTACCACTCAAATAGCAAGGAGTCATTTACATCATGCAGGCCATTAGCCATATCCAGTATCGCATCTCAACCACTACAAATATGGGCTGGATTCAAACCTGGAAGAAGAAACCTGGCTGACTGTTGCCTCAAACAGAATTTTTGGACCACCTGATCCTCCTCACCATTAGTAACTTCAGGATGCTGGAAGATCAAACTGCATCACAAATCCACACCAACAGCCCTTTATCCAAGCATGGCCTGTTGGATTTTTTTGTTTGTTTGGGGTTTCTTTCACTATTAAAAATAATTTCTTTTCAGTTCAGACAGGAACACATGGTTATAGGCAGCAGCTAAACCAACGGTTCTCATCTCTGAGATCTTGTAGGGGCAAAGCAAGCAGTGCCTATAATCCTACTGGCTTCTTGCAATACTCATTCACTTGGGGGTCGCACACATCAAAATCCAAACTCTCCATGATTTATACGGGTTTTTTAAGAGGCTCTTAGACTTGCTCTCAAAGCAACAAAAGTCCTTCTCCTAGTGGCTTACAAAACTACAGCTATTTAATCCTCCCACTGCCACCTGTAAACACGTGGATTGTTTCATCAAACTTGCTCTTAAAGCAACAAAAGTCCTCCTAGTGGCTTACAAAACTACAGCTATTTAATCCTCCCACTGCCACCTGTAAACACGTGGATTGTTTCATCAAGGTCTAGCTCACTCTTGAATGCTGTCTTTGAAGGGTTGGAGGCTGGCATTTGCTGTGCTTATACACCAGGGCATCTCCAGGTTCTCTAAAGGCTGCTACAATTCCTCCTCAGAAGAGCAGCTGTATCTCTCACCCTCTAGCACTAGATGAAACACATCCACACAATTGCTTATTCTGCACTGTCTACAGAAAAAAGACCACCGACAGCTGAAATTCAAGAGATGCCTCACCCAGTGCTGTAGGAGCACAGAGACCCTATGATGAGTATTTTCAAAGTTAACTGGAGGATTCAGCATGGCACGTTCAGTGACTGCCAGTGCCCTTTGCAAATCTGCATCAGCACAGGGCTGAACTGTGGCTCATGGGGAGCATCCACACCACCTCCTTTTAAAGACCTATTTCAGCATAATCATCTCAGTTTTTCCTTACACCCCTGGAAAGACTACAAGTAAGTGACTCAGGACAGGAGGCCAAGTTAGGTGACTGAATTAGCTATTGAGGATCCTTCATTAACAGATACCTGAGCAGATCAGCCTCCCAGTCCAGACACATAGATTAACTGCATAGAAGTTGGTAGTGTGAATGCCCACACCAGTATCTGGCCTACATTAAGTACAAAGATACTGGGCGAAATTAAAAAATATGGAGACTAGAGGAAGAAATAAACAGTGCTTAACTCACCCTCTTCCAAGTGAGATCAAAACAGGCTTTTCCATCCCAATTAGAACTCGGAAAGCTTCATTAAGGTTTGCATAGGTGAAGTTTTCTGCTGCATCTCCGATAACCACGCAGTTTGGGTTTGCTTTATCAATCTCAGCAAATTCAGGGACAAGGGCTACAGAAAGAGGGGGGGGGGGGAAATCCACAAATCCCTTAGCATTTCTGATCCCATTGGAACTGATGGTTTTCCCCAGATTTGTGTTTCCCTCCATTCATTCCCCAACACATTAAAAAAAAAAAAAAAAAAAATCCAAGTCTGAATCAACTGTTCTTCCGACCCCTTCTATTCCCGCCTGGATCCTGCAACGAAGGATCTGTCCTACAACGAAGAGCAAAATACACCATTTCCTACCCTTGCCTTAGCTCCCGCCACCTACATCTCTACCTCAGCTCATTATATCCAGGCACCTAAACTTCTGGGTAGTTGAATGAAAATCTGTAACAGCAAGGGCAGGATCCACCTCCTTTCTCCACACCCACACTTTACAGAACACTTTAAACTTAAAACCTCTGCCATGATAACAAAAACAATGTAATGCCCTGCACAAGACCTCACTTATCTTTTAGTCTCTGTGGTTAAGCAGCAGACTCCTGTGCCCTTGCTGACCCCCAGCACAACTCTGTGCCTCCACTGTACCATTGCCATAATTGAGACCTCGCACAGGCCAGACCACTAAGGTTTATTCCAGAGTCTCATGACTAAGGAAAAAGCTTTTCCCTGTAGGAAAACAACAGCTGGGAGCTCTTCCCCCACGAGCTATGGAAATTCACTGCTCTATCGCAAACGCCCACATTTCTCTGGGGTGTCTCCCTACGTGTCCCAGCATCTGCTGCAGCGTTGTCCCACCGTTGTGCACAAGCAAGTGCGGCCTCAGGCTGCGCTCCTTCAAAATACGGCAGGCTGCTGGTGCTGGGGCAGTGACTTCAGTCACAGAGATGTCAAAGCCCATGCCCTGGAGCTTCTTCACAAACTTCTCCCTGGTCGCTTGTGTTTCATTAGTGCAGAACCGCAGCTTCAGACCAGATGCTTTGATCCTGTTGAGTAAAAGCAGCAGAGGGGTTAACCGGACATAGAAAAGGAGCTAAGAGTATCAGCTTTGCTGCCCCACACCTAACTCGGATAATTACAATAAAAATGCAAAGAGGAAATGCCAGAACAGGAGCAGGACCCCTTACTGTGACCAAGACATGGCTAAAATATATTGATTCTGGGCACTACAGCTGCCGTTTTCATGTGCAGGGCCCTTGCCATAGCACGTAAGTGCCCTTCTGGAACAGAGAGCTAAGCTGAACGTGGCAGCACAGGCGGTGCCCACCATCCCCAGGATACCACAGTCTGTCAGGCACACTCTCCCTCCACACACCAAAAACTCCCAAATCCAGTTCCTTTCCTTTAAACTGGTCCATGGACGTAGACACACATGAACTGAAAGCACTGCATAGCCATGAGTGCAGTACCGGGTGTGATATCACTGGCTATCAGCCTTTTAACTTGGATTTTCACCTCTCCACTTACTGATCACCTGCTGCAGTGATTTGCTGGCGGCAACAGCAAGGCTTTGCACTTCTGCAGACTCCAGGTAAGAGGCCAGCTAGTTGCAATGATGCTTATATCAACACTGGGGTGCCTTCAGTTACATTTATCATTTAGTCTTTCATGAACCATGTGCTGTTACTTGGTGGGTAATCCTGAAAAATATGGTACTTCAGCTGATTCATTAATAAATGTTTACAGGTAAATGGCTTCTCAAGGGAAGAAAACGCGGCCCCAAGTGCTCAGAGCCAAGGACATGGTTCCTGTGGAGCGGTACTCTGCAATCTCGTGCAAGTCCTCTGCCTCTGAGTGACTTTGTTTCCTGACCCAAGCTGTGGTGACCTACTGGGGATGTCATGAAGAGACCTCTTCTCCAAGGAAGAGTTGTCAGCCTTTTCGAGAACCAACATATTTGAAAGTGGCCATGGAAAATCAGAAGCATTGAAAACGTATCACAATTTTTTTCAAATATTTGCCAAAGGGACTGTCACTCAGCTCCTCAAATATATTAAAATGCCAAACTTCTGTCAGTTTTAGTGTGAATTTGTACCTCATTATCTTTGTGGACCTGAGCTAATATGGGTTTAGATACCTAGGTAAGTTAGGGGCTAGGCTTACAAATTCTTACTAAAATATTATTACTTTTCTTTGTGTTAGGATGAAAAAGGACTTTTCTATTAGGAAAGCCCATGCACTGATTCTCAAGACAACAAAACATGGTGGGTTCCTTTTCTAGGGAAGATGATCCCTATCGGTTGGTGTAAACACTGAAACCACCTTGAGGTAATACATCTGATGATGAACTTTCCATCAAAGGATTCTTAGAAATCCGGTCCTGGCCCAGAGAGCCCCTTCCACTTATTAAAACTGCATGCCAGTGTCTTCTTCAATAACGCAGGTGATTCATTTCTTTCTTATTATTTGTCTTTCCTAATCATAGGTATGTGAATTATCAATTACACTTAGTGGTTAATTGCCCTTCATAAAGATAGCTTTTCTATTTTAAATTAGGCAGTTAATATATTGTAACTAATAGCATCCACTTGTACATTATAAATATATCTTCATTGATTGGAGCAGTGAATGTGAGATTCACTCACAAGTTAATGAAGCAATTGAGTGAAGAAGTGCAGGGTGTACCCAGGGAATAATTATTGTTAATGAATTATGATGTGACCTTCTCAGAACAATGAACAATTGGTGTGACAGTGGGATGACAGTATTCCACATCTGTTATTCGAAACACGGTTTCAGCTGTAGTTAAAAAGCAAAGCTGTGTAATTTGGATACATAACAAACTTTAATAGAGTATGCCATGGTTAAAAAAATCTTATTCTAAATGCAAAGCCTATCTGCACACTCTTAGGAAAAAAATCCCATGATTCACGACTGCCTGGAAACAGACATTTGTTGAATAAGAATCTATTCTTTCTCTTCCTAAAGGTCAATGAAATGAATCCAGGAACAACACTATCCCTCTACTTGCACAGACAAACAAATGTGCCCTCACAGGTCAGCTTGGTAAAAGTAGAGATTCAGTTTTCCTATACTACAAATTTAACTTCTTTCTCAGAATTGTAGACGAAAAACAGAGCTACACTTCTGAAAGGCATGACCAAAGCAGAAGCAGTCTGGACACATCCTGGACTGCTTCATACCTTCGTGGCCACCAGCAATTACCACCTCAACAAACAAGCTCAGTAAATGCTTAGTATCAGGTGAGGTCTACAAAGAGTTAGGCCAAGCTGGTCAGAAAATGGGAGTCCTCTGGTGAAACATGAAAAGGACTCTCAAAAATATCCTGGAACACTAAACAAAAGAAAAATTGTCAAGAACTCCAGAGAATACTTATTTCTACAAAAATACCTTTTCAATGAAAAGCCACCTTCTCCTTTTTAGGTCTCTAAAAAGATCCTCTGCTAGCTCTCCACCAAATCCTTGTATGATACAGTCACACTCACTGGTACGTGCATGATTATACACACACCAGGATGAATCCATCCCTCGATGCCCGGCACGGGGACCACGAGCGGAGCCTGCAGGCCAGCACGCATCGGCAAACAACTATTAACTCAGAGCTTAAATAATCAGCGGGAGCTTTTAACAACAGTTCTCCACACGGGGAAATCCTGGCTCCACTCGTGTTTACAACAAAACTCTCCTGCAGTTTTCATGGTCAGGTTTGGCACAGGGAGGAACTAAAAGAGATGGCTTGAAGGTCTTTGTCTGACGGAAGCAAGATGCTTTGCATAGCGAGTCAATACTGCAGTGGGGGCACTGGTGCTATGCTGGCCAGCTTAACATGAAACCTCGAGCTACTGAGCTGACCCAGCCACCAGTGTTCACATTTTAAGAAGCACGTGCAAAGCAAGTTACTGCAACTTCTAGTGCCAGCAAGTGTGGGGATATTAGGAGAAGAATAAAGAACAAAATTTGTAATGTGTTGCCTTATAAGATAAAGAGCAAGGGATTAGATACCTGCAAGTACAGAAGAATGAGGCAAGAGCAGATGAAATACACAACACACATTTTATCAAGATCTCCAGCGTATTACAGATTTATCAGCATCTGTATTACAGAAGCGCAGGCACACCCAGGAAACCCAGTCAATGAGGGCTTCAGCTGACTTCCATACATTGCAGCCATGATAAAGATCCCAGTCAGACTCCAGAAGCACCAGAAATCAATCCTGATTAGAGCGCAAGCCAAGCACAAGGATAGGCAGCACTGCGCTCCACGCTGCAGGGACTCCGCACGGTCCAGGTAGCTGCGGACGTCCCGAGGCCACCTCTCGCTCCCTGTTCGGGGCCATCAGCAGGCCCGTCAGATAAATCCACTCCGTTTCCAACACGACTGCTCACCCCACTCCTAAGGGCCCACGGGCAGGAGCTGGGGAACTTGAACTTCACCTGCATGTGGGGAGCTAGGCATGAAGGGAGAGCAGCTTCTGACTTTTTGGGGTGTCACAAATGGCAAACTCAGCTAAAAGCATCTCTGCGGCAAAAGAAACGTCTCGGAGCCCCTCTCAGAGGGGACGGCAGAGCGTGCAGGGCAGCAGGGAGCAGACAAAAAGCCCAATTACACCCCTCCAGCTGCATGTCACACAGGTGCTGAAGCAAAGGAACAAGTCACAGAAGAAACTTCCAAGCCCAAAATTATAAGCAGACAGATGAGCATCGAACTAACACACCAACAGGTGGGTAGTGAGACTTTTTCTAAACCTTACCAGAGGAGGCATTTAAACCCACTCCAGACCAAAACAACCACTCAGTTGCCCAAACAGTCCCTAAATCTAGAACCGGGGCACCCATCCGGCTCCGGGCACACTGTGAGGACATGTATATGGGAGAGATGGAAATGAGGTTTTTAGTTTCAGGCCTGAGCTGCCCCTCACGCTACGCCAGCTCTTTGAACTGACCTTTACCTCGTTCTGCCGGAGCAGGACACAACGCTGAGTGACAATGTCCCACAATGCAATTACCGTGCGTCAGATGAGCCGGTCCCTTACAAATCACCTCGAACTTTACACATCTGCTGGCTGTCAGCATCTGCCAGGTTCACTCACCCGAAAATAATGAAAAAACTCTCATTATTGTTCCATAACAGGTAAAGTGTTAGGACAATTATTAGACATCCTGACTGACCTTGTGCAGACTTAACCAACTGCCCTTGCCAACCCTTATGGGCAGCCTTTGGGCATATAAAACACAAAACCTGTTCTTTCAGATGATGTAAAGGTTGTGACACTAGTAGGAAAAGAAATGGCCCTGGGATCTAGGCTGGAAGCCATCACTCCTTCTTAAATTCACATTGTCCTGCACATGGCAGAAGCAACTAAGGACATGGTATAAAGCTAAACTTCAGACTCTGACCACTCTCTTTCGCCGTGAAGGTTTTTCCCAACACGGAGCAGAAGCAGAGTCCTGCCCGCAGCCGGCAGGTCCTGTGCAGACGGGCAGGGGGGCAGAAAGCAAAACCCCGGAAGAGGCAACAAGCCGGAGCTTGGCGACTGTCCAACGCCAACTTCAAAGGGGTTTGGAAGAGTGCTGGTTATGAGATTTCCAGAACCGGCTTTTTTATCCTGCTTTTGGTTTTTCAGAGTGTTTTTTTTTTTTTCTTTATAATTTAAAAGAAAAGAAAGCATGCTAAGCACTTATGATACTTGACTCTCTTGCATCAGCGGATGAATACCAGTGTGCTTCAGTGTAAACTTGTCATCACTCTAATACCATCTCTGAAACATGGGAAATAACAGTACTGGAGAGTTATCTACCTGTGACCGAACAATAAAGTAAAACCAGGACTTGTGCAGCAATGCTGTCCTCCCACCTGGGCAAGGCTAACGTTTGCTTATTGGCCTCTGCAAGGGCCAGGGTGCTGGTGCTACAGGCAAAACATCTCCTGTTGAGAGGAGATGAAACCGAGCCAAGAAGAACTGAGCATAATGATCAAAAGTAGAAATGACTTGCCTAGTTTCAAGGTCAATACAGAAGAAAGAGTTTGAAAAGAGCAGAAATTTATACCACTTCTTTAGCCTGACTGACTGACGGAGAACCACGGTGCATGATGTGTTTTTAGCCAGCATCTAAAAAACACACTCAAAATGACGAATTAAAATGGGTTTTGCAACAAGAGATCAGTACTAGTCCTCAACAGTCTGCGTAACGGTGGGTAAAACCTCATCCAGACCACAAAATGGTGAGGGATCAGGACAAAGGGAGGTATCAAAATCTTCTATGACTTCAGACACTGCTGACTAGCAGGCGATGGGATGTTTTTCCACTGCCCATGAAAGCCTCCCTGGCTGGCCCTGCCACTGCCGGGGAGTAATTCACCTAGCAAGTCACACACCGCTCTCCACAGAAGGCAAAAA